ATCTCGACCCTTTGCGTTTGAGGGTTTAAAAAAGGAATTTTAGAAATAGTTTTCCCAAGTGGAGCTAAAAACCAGGTGACTGATATAAGAATGAACTTGAAGATTTGCAAAATCTATGAATGGCAAGAATATAGACTGTGTGGGAAGCAGTTATGTTCCTAAATCCCCAACTCAAGATTTGACCCAGATCTATGAGGGGGATCTAACCTGAGGTCAGGGGTCAGCAACAGCCCCCATCCTCCCCACTTCCTGCTTTCCAGCCACACTAACATTTCCTTCCCACTCTCCAGTCCTCTGCCTCTGCCTCTCAGCTGGTGACCTCACTCTGCACCATAAGGTCTCTCCAGCCCCAGGGCCTTTGCACGTGTTCCCCTCCTCACCCACCTGGCACATAGTAGTCGCTCCTCTGCAAATATTTATTGACATTCTGACTTCCAGCCAGAGAAAAATCTAGCTCCTTTCTGAGTTCAGGTTAGTGGAGGCATAAGCTTGACTGAGGTCCCGGGAGAGGGTAAGTGGGGTGGTGGAGTTAAACGGGCAGCACGGAGGAGGCAGGAAAGCCAGACCCAGATACAGGCACCACGTGTTAGCTGAGTGATTGTGGGCAAGTGGCTAACCCCTCCGGGTCTCAGTTCCCCTGTCAATGAACTGAGAATATGACATTCACATGGGGAAGATACTGGAGCATAAAATGGGACCACAGTATGTAAAGCTACAAGCTATAACCTGGCAAAGAGAATAAACTCAATGAATGTTGGTTTCTTTATCGGTCAGTTCTGGTGTAATTTCAGGGCAAGTAACAAAATAAAAGTTTAAGAGGATGACGATGATAGCAAACGTTTATAGAGGACTTTCTTACTAAACCCCAGGCACAGTTCTAAGTTATTGTTATTACCCCCATTTTACAACTCAGGAAACTGAGGCACAGAGATGTTGAGTGATGTGCCCAAGGCCACAGTAGCTAGCAGAACTGGGATTTGAACTGAGGCTCTCTGGCTCTCAGCTGCGAGGGAAGAGTGTGTGTTATCCACATTACAAGCAATCTGGAGGCTGGGAGGTTGGTTGTGGTGTTGGTTCTGCAGCTCAGCAGGATCTCCAAGGAATCCTTTCCATCTTTTCACTCGGCCATCTTCAGTGTAAGGACTTTCCTTGGTGACCTTTACCACTCACAGTCCCAGGGTGGCAACCCCATTCCAAGACGGCTACCCAGCCATCCTGGGTAGACACAAAAGTGTCAGCCAAAGAAGAGGAGGGACTGTCTCCTGCCACGTGACTCCTCTTGAAGGAGGGAACCTCTCTTCCAGAGGCACTCAGGAGACTTGCACTCAGGTCCTGTTAAGCGCAAGACTGGGCCATGTGACCAGTGCTCCCGTGGCAAGAGATCCTGGTAAAAAGAGACTGTTGGGCGTTTCTGCCTCTTTGAATGACAGAAGGACCCCACTCACAAGGGAGGGAGTGGGACTGGCTCTTGGGTTGACAGCCATAAGGGTCTTGAGTGGTTTTTTCCTAGTTTAAGATAAGTCCTGTCCTCTACACAGCCCTCCCTCCCTTCTGGAATCTACTCTGTTAGTTGTCACGATGCCTTTCTCCATTTCACTTCATTATTTATTCATTCATTCATTCAACAAACATTTATTGAGTGCCTACTATATGCCAGGCACAGTTATAGGTCCTGGGGATACCGTCGTGAGCAAAACAGACGAAAATTCCTGCCCTCTGGGGTAGACAAGCTAGAGCAGCACCATCCGATGGAACTTTCTGCTGTGACGGAAATGTCCTTTGGGATGCAACTGCCCACACGCGGCTGTGGAGCACTTAAAATGCGACGGATGCAACTAAGGAACTGAGTGTCTAATTTAAATTAAATTATATTAATGATATGTTTAAAGAGCTATGTGAAAGTGCGACTAATGCGACCGAGGAGCTGAATGTCTCATTTAATTTAATTTAATTTAAATGTATATTTAAATAACTGTGTGCCTAATGGTTCCCGTATTGGGCAGCGCAGCTCTAAAGGCCAAGGCTGCATCATCGACTTCCCTCTCTTGACACATCAGCATACTCGGTTCTCTTCCACCCTGAACATCCTTTCTTCTCATGCCCAGGCTCTTGTTTCCAGTGCGTCTCAACCTTCTCTCTCCAGCCATCAGCCACGGCGAGACTCCCCAGAGACCCGAGGCCCTGCGTGATGCCTGCTTTTCATCCGTGGCATCTTCTTCATCTTTGTCTATGCTGCCCTGGGGACCAATGCCCTCTCCTTTCTCAAAACACTTTTGAACTTAACCCTCAGGGATGACACCCTTCTTCCAGGTCTCCTCCTGCCTCTGTGGCTTCTCCCTCTTTTCCACCCATATTCTTTCTCTACCTTTTTCATTTTAGCTATCAACTCTGGGATATCTGGCCAACCACAACCCCATCTGTCCCTTCTGAGAAGGCAGAATTGGAGCTGCAACCTAAAGGATTTGAAGAGGGCCCACTAGGCAAAGAGGGAGAGAGTTGAAGGGATGGGGCAGGTGTCTGCAGTAGAAGAGACAGCCAGCATATCATTCCCATGGTGGAAAGGAGCTTTTCCTGTTGGAAGAACAGAAGGCCAAAGTGGCCAGAGTGTACTGAGACAGGGCGGTTGGTGGGAGTCAAGTCACACAAGGTCTTGTGGTCATGATAGACTCTAGATTTTATTCTAAGCCTGCTGGAAGCCACTGGAAGGTTTTAATGAGTGAGTCACAGAAAACTGGCTTCTCAAACTCAACGTGTCCAGTCCACAAGCCAACTCCTGGGCTTCCTCCAAACCTTCCCCATCTCAGTTGACAACTCCATCCTTCCAGTGGCCCAGCCCCAAACCCTGGAATCGCTCTTGATTCCTCTCTCCCATCCCACACTCGGTCTTTCCATTGGAAGTCCTGGTGGCTGCCGTATTGTTCTCCGTAGTGCTTCACACCATCTGACATACCATACCTCTTCCCGTTTTCACTTGGTTGATGGTGGCACTCTCAGGTTCTCCCTGAGTAGCTACGCACATAGTAGGTTCTCAACAAACACTTGTGGAATAAATGAATGACTGTTACCTGGTGGTTCATTTGGAACCAGGAAGCCATACTTCCCATCTCTTTCTTTCCCACCATTGCTCCCACCCCATCCAACAAGCCATGTGAGGTGGAAAACTGGGCTCTGGAGTCCTGGGGTCCTGAGTTCACATTCTTACTTGGTGGTGTGGACCTCCATGAGTTCAGAACTTCTCTGGGCTTCAGTTTCCTCCTCTGTAAGATGGGACTCACCCTGCTGACTGCTGGGACGCAGGGAGGATTTGATGAGCCCAGGCAAGCTCCCTGGTGCACAGCAGTCAATGGCAGCTATATATAAATTGGGGCTTCCTTTGTACTCCCACTGCCTTTGTCCTAGTTCTAGCCCTCATGACGCCGGTCTGCTCTTACAGCTCCCTCCTCACTCCTGCCTCCATCACCACCAATCTGTCCTTTCAGCTGTCAGGCTTGCCAACCCTAATCATATCCCTCCCCGCTCCAAAACCTTAACATGACTCCCACTGTCCACACGACAAGACCCACCTCATCAGCCTCCAGTTCACAGCCTCCAACCATCCTGCCCCCCTGATTTGTCCCCCCATCATCCAGGGGGAAGCCTTCTGCCACTCTAGGGCATTCTCAGCCCAAGAAGCCTCTCCTCTCCTCCCGTTCTCCTCCCAACCCCTTGTCATCCTTCCCAGGAGGGGGCTGAGAGAGAGTGCATCTTAGGTGCTGGCTAGGATTGCACTGGGCAAGAGGGAGGTCAGATGATCTGCATTTCAGAGGCTGAGGCAAGTTAGAGCAAAGGCCACGTAATGAGAAAATGCGGGGCCAGGGTTTAACCTCTGGTCTAAGATTTTGTAAGATTTTGTGCCATGCTGCCTCTTCAGACTTGGACTCCACAGTCACGCCGTCCCCAGCCATCCTGTCTGAATTCATTTCCTCCTCATTCCTGCCTCTGACCGCCCTGGGACCAGAAGGACTTGTACTTGAATCTCTCACCCCCTTACATGTGTGGTCATCTAAGGGCAGGGCTGAATTCATCTCAGCAGTATCATTGTGTCCAGCACAACCAGGTCTAAATCCATCATCTCTCGCCTGGACCAGTGCAGTCACCTCCCCAGTCTCCCAGCTTCTGGCCTTGGCCCCTAGAGAAGCCTTATTTTAAACACAAGTCAGATCATGTCCCTTCGATACTCAGAACCCTCCATGGCTGTGACTTCACTCAGAGCAAAAGCTTCACTGTGGCCCACAAGGCCTTGCATGACCTGCCTCATCACCTCCCTGCCCTCATCGCCTCCCACTGTCACCCTGGCTCACTTGGTTCCAGCCATACTGGCCTCTTTGCTATTCCTCAGATGTACCAGGTGTGGTTCTGCCTCAGGACCTTTGCACTGGCTGGGCAAAGGCCCAGAATTTTCCTCTGACATATTCATGTGGCTCACTTTCTTTACATCTTTACCCCACTGACTCTTTCTCTGTGCCTGAGCTGTATGGTCCATCCACTCCTGGCCACATGTGACCATTGAACACCTGAATTGAGATGTGCCAGAAAGGTAGAATACACACCAAATTTCAGTGACACATGATTGGATAATGAAGATGTGGTGTGTATATATATATATACAATGAATACTATTCAGCTGTAAAAAAAAAATAAAATAATGCCATTTGAGCAACATGGACAGACCTGGAGATTATCGTACTAAGTGAAGTGCCATGGCAAAGCCTCCATTCTTCTCAGCCCAATATTTATTGAGCCTCATCCACCAGACACCTATTTGGGGTCTTTGTAAATCACCTTTCATCTCGTGAAGCAGGTGCTATTAACACAGTTTTACAGGTGGGAAAACTGAGGTCCACCGATGTAAAGTCACCTGCCTGTGGTCACCCAGACAATAAACCGTGACATCGACCCCCCACCCACCTGTCGGACCCTGAAACCCACCCTTGGCTTTCTGTTCTGGCTTTTTCTTCCAGCATCTTGGCAACAGTTGGGACGGAGTTTGACCTCCGGACGCTGAGGGCAGTTCGAGTGCTGCGGCCGCTCAAGCTGGTATCTGGAATCCCAAGTGCGTGAGTTTCCAACTCTGGCAAGGGGTCTGCTCAGGGGTCCTGGGAGCCCTCGGTTTCCCCTCTGCAAAGCATCTCATTGGCAGCCCTTGGGTGCTTCCGCAGCCTGAGTCCAAGCAGTCTCTTTGGGGAAGCCCCTCGGGGGACCCCCAGGAACCTGGCTGCAGGTCTGCACAGGCTCCTGAAAGCAAACCAGGACCCTCACCCGTAACCACCTCTTTACTGAACATTTATCCATCAGGAGCCATGCTAAGCACCACACAGGCTCTCACTCCGTACTCCCAACCTTGTGAAGTGGATAGTGCTGTTGTCCCCATTTTACAGACGGGGAAACTGAGGCTCAGAGCCGCTGAATAATTTGAACAAAGTCGCATGGCTGAGAATGTCAGAATTAGGAGTTAGCCAGTATGACTCCCAAGCCTGGCAATAATGAGTGGCAATAACCATTACCACATATTGAGTGCCTACTGCATACAGGGCACAGCAGAACGAGCTTTCTGTGTATTAGTTCACCTTCACAATTACCCAGGTGCGGAACCATTTTACGGGTGAAAAGGCTGAGGCTCCAAAAGGTTAAATTACTCACTTGATTTCTGACAGTTAGACAGTGACAAGCTCCAAAGTCTTTACTCGCTCCCTGCTATGTTCTCATCCTCCAAGGGTGCTTTTTCTCCACCCTTGAGGGGTGGCTGCAGAATTCAGGGTCAGGACTAGGTTCAGCTGCAAAAAGAGAGAAAAAGAAAGCAAAACAGGGCTGACCTTCTTCTGTCCTACTGCCCCAGTAGTAGTAGTAGTAACAATAATAATAATAATTTATAAGCACTTACTATGTGCCAGGCACTGTTTTAAGTATTTGCCATTTTTTTAACTCACTTATCCTCACAAGCCTGTGAGGTAGGTTCTATTATTACCTCCATTTTACGTTTCATTAGCTTTGTTCTTCAGATTTATTGCCATCCAGATTTAAAGAGTAAGACGTCCCAGATAACCACCAGCAGGGTCTTTTTGTAGAAAGAAGGCACTTCTACTCAAGTGTCTGCAAGATTCCAGCAGGTGCTTCTGTCGTATTAAACTAAGGGCCATCCCAAATTGAGTAGCTAATACTAAAAAGAGTCTCTGTTGAATGACCACCAGTGACATGCCAGGCACTTTGCTAGGTGTGAACTTTCTCATTTAATCCTGAGAGGGAGGTGCTAGTCTAATTCCCGATTACAGATGAAGAAACCGAGGTTCAGAATGGCACCCTGACTTGCTCAGGTCACTTTGCTAGTCAGGAGATGACTAGGTCAGGTTCCCTAGAAGCAGACATAGACGGGTGTTCAAATGCCCTTGCTTTATTGGGGGAGTGCTATCAGGAGAGAGAGGATGAGGGCAGCAGGACGGGGCAGGGGAAGGAGCTGAACAAGGATGCCATCTCAGCCTGATCCCCTGGGGAGCTCTGGAGTGTGAGTAGCATCCCGGTTCTCTCCTATTTGAGGCAGGGGGCTGCTGGCCTTTTGTACTTGTGTGATCGATTGCTGGGGGTGGGAGGTGGGAAAGCAGACACCTCCCAGATGAGGTGCTTTTAATAACCAAGGGTGATGCTGTGAAAAGCGGGGCATCTGGGAACCATTAGCAGCCAGTGCCCACAGCAGCTGGAGGGAGGGTGCGCCAACAGCAAAGGAGACCTGGCCTGGGCATTGACTGTCTCCAGTGTCCAGAGCCTCAGCCACTCTGCCACACTTCCTCCATCAGCGTCAGCCTTACATTTGGGACACCTTGGAGTAGCGTAGTCCCCTGTGGTTTCCACCTATCAAGAGATGCTAATTGTGGACCATGGGAGGTTCTTCTAATCAAGAAGCAAGACCCAAGCTATACGCCTGAACCCTGATTTTAACCACAGACTTTCCTAAAACACATTGAACCATGGCTTCAGACATGGGGTTTGACATCATTCCGACCTGGGTTCGAATCCTGGCCCTGTTATTTCTCATGTCCTAGGGTGAATCATGACGCCCCTCTGAGCTTTACTTCCCACCTCTGGGAAATGGGGGTGATTTTACACGTGCACCTGCCTCCTGGGGTTGTTGCTAAAAGCCAGTGAAATAATGTCTGGCTTCTCAGGGTTGGAACTGGGACATGGACTGCTTTTCCGTGCAGAGCTGCCAGCCAGCCTCTATGGTGCCTTTGTATGAATTAGGACACGTCGCCCCCTCTTGGTGGAAAAAAGTTAGAAAAAGGCACCCCGCTCTGGGTGAAAGGCGCCCCGTGCGCAAGAACAGGGCTCAGAAAGCAACGACTCTCCACCTCGTTCTTGCCCAGAAGGTCATCAAATAGGGTGACCTAGGCCAAATGCTTTTTGAAATATTTGAAAATAAAAAATTCTCTAACATGTTTGAAGGGAGTGTTCCTGTTATTATAATGAGTAGCCTCTGTGTCTTCCATCCATCTTCCCTCGCCCTGGCCCCGTCCCCAGCCTTCCCCTGTGTGTCCTGGATTCCCTTGGGAGGTATCCTGGAGGTGGGGTTTCGGGGTGCCTTCTCATGGGCCCGTGGGGCCTCTCTCTCTCTCTGTGTCTCTCCAGGTTTACAAGTCGTCCTGAAGTCCATTATGAAGGCAATGATCCCCCTGCTGCAGATTGGCCTCCTCCTATTTTTTGCAATCCTCATTTTTGCAATCATAGGGTTAGAATTTTATATGGGAAAATTTCATACCACCTGCTTTGAAGAGGGGACAGGTAGGTCCGAGAAGCATGATATGTTTTTATTTTTCCCCAACCTTCCTCCCATTTCTTTTTCTCCCTTGGGGACAAGCTCCTGATGAGATGGGTAGGGGTTTGCGTCTTTCTCTTAAGAAACCGGGGCACCTCCTCCCCAAAGCACTGCCGGCAAGGTGGGGGGTGAAACAGCCCCCAAGACCTTGGTTGTTGCTAGGACATTGCCTTGGGATTCCCTAGGAAGCTGTCCCGAGGTTAGTGGTTTATTTGGGAAGTGACCCTTGGAAGCACCGTCAGGAAAGTGGGGAAGTGAGACAGGTAGGGGGAAACATCTGGTAAAGGGGGTGTTACCAAGCAAGTTACCATTTTGGGCAACCAGACCTCAGTCCCATTGGGCACCTCGGAGAAACAGGGTAGGTCACACATCTCACAGCCATCCCACATGAGAGACGAGGGAGCTGGGTACCTACCCACCAAATTTTGTCCAACATTGGCGAGGAATGGCCCTGGGTGGGCATTAATGCCCTGGCACAGCTGCCTGCCCCTCATGCTGAGCTGGAGCAGGCACCAAAGGTGTTTTCAGGGAGAGCACGTAGGGGCAGAGCAGATGACAGCAGAATATGGACAGGATGCCCACAGGCTCTTTACCTAGTTACCTTGCAGCGACCCCAGAGCTTAGGGTGTGTTGAGTTCTAAAGCAGGAAGACTCGGGGGGCAACCTGGCCAGGAAGGAAGGGATCCAGTGGCTCTGGAGAAAAGGAGAGTAGAGGATGGCTCCTCCTGGTCCCCCCAAGAATGTGCCTTAAAGACATCCTTCTGGGAGTGCTGGCACTGACCAATGGAACTCAGCACCACCAGGGTCTTGGTCCCTCTCCCCAAGCTGTGCCAGGTAGGGGGAGGGGAAAAGGCAGGAGAAAAGCCAGGAAGGCCAAGAGGTACAGCCCTGGTGCTCAGCTCAGAATCAGAGTGAGTGGGGCAGCGTGGGTGTCCCCTGCTGTCCACACACTCACAGACCCAGTAGCTTCCAGAGACCTTTTCAATTAAATACCCTGCTATCCAAACTTCTGGCTACTTGTTCTCTGAAGCCCATGAACCAAGTGGAATCAAATGTGGAGTGAAGCCTGTATTTCAGTATTTGAACCACGAGCTGCCTCGGTACGCACGGGCTGAGTGGCAGTGCTGCTCATGGGTCAAGGAAGCTGAACTGAGGGAGTGGACAGCGTGGACTGAAGCCCAGAGGGAAAGAGGTTTCAAGCCTGTCTTATAAGGAAGAAGATTCTGTCCCATCCACCTTTTCAGCCTGGTGACCCCCTGGGTAGCCGAGACATCTTCCCAGACCTCCCAGAGGGCAGGAAAACCCAGTAGGGAAGGTTTATTCAGGATGATTTTTTTTTCCTCCTTTTTTTCTTGCTCCTCCTGTCTCCTCTCCTGGGCTTGTGAAGTTTGCTCAATATGGGATGTCCTAATTATTTCTTTCCCTGATGAAGAAGGTGTTAATTGAGTCAGATTGAGGCAGAGCTATTTCTGCTCCTGGCCTCATCACCCGGGCGGAAATACTGGAGGGAGAGATTCAGGGCAGGGCCCCTCGGAAAAAAATCAGCCGAGGGCAGAGAAACCGGGACTCCTGGATCCTAGGGTTTTTGTTTTGTTTTTGTGTGTGTGTGTGTGTTTGTTTTTTTTTTTTTTTCCTCTCTTTTTCTCTCTCCAGCCAAGGGGACAGAGGACTGGCTTGAGTCTGAGTCAGGGTTGTAAGGGGACAGATGTGGGTGGGGCAGCCCGAAGGGTAGGAAGCCTTGATTTGGAGGATGACTGAAAAGCTCGTGATTAAAAATATAAGCCGTGTGAGTAAGAGACAGATTTATACAGACACCCAGGCAGCAGGTTAATTTTAAAATATATTTATAACCAAATTCCTCAGACTCTCTGGACGGTTGCTTTTCTAGAAGCAGCCCTCGGAGTGTTTCGTGATGAGGGGGCGGGGAGGTTGAGGGGGGATGGGATCTCAATCAGGAACACCGCTAGGCAGAGCTGCCAAAGACAGACAGGTTTTCTCTTGCAGATGGCTCTCTTTATCATCAGGAACCCGGCTCCTGTGTGCCCAGCACCGCGCTAAACACGCAGAGAAATGCAAAGGAAAAGCGGAAGCTTTCTGCTTTCCAAGAGCTTCCAAAATAGTTTGAGGACACGAGACCCCTAGTGCATAGCAATGCACGTTAATGCCTGCTTTTCTCTCCCCACCAAATGTGAACATTCAGGAGCTATTGTAGCCCCAAGGAAAGGAAGGGACCAGTGTTCACTGGGCTAATGCAGGAGTTGCCGCACGATGGATGGAAATTGAGCCAGATTTGGACACAAGGTGGAAATGGAAAAGTTTCTGGACAGAGGTGAACTTCCCCGCAAACAGTGGTTCTCATTCATTAGAGGAGCCCTGGAATTTTTATTCCTTTTAAAAGATTTTGCCTTCCGATCTGTATTCATTATATAACAGCTCCTGGACCACGTCAGGCGTGAATGGGGAAGGCGTTTCCCACTTCTTAAACTTAAGTGGCTGATGTGTCATTGCTTCGTAAGTAGTAGGTGTCACTTCTGAGATTGGTGGGTGTCGTTTTGCAGGACCTGGAGTTTCTGTTTCACCGGAGCGCCAAAGGTCAATAAGATTCAGGCATTCTGTGTTGGTTCATTTCTCTCTGTTGCTTGCTCAGTGGAGGCTGGGAATGGGTGCTGCAAAGTCTGAAGCACATCCATTGAGATATCTTTTTGTTTAGTGGGGAGCTTGAGTTTACACACTCGACTGTTTTCTTGTCACACAGTGTCGCTCTCTGAAAACCTTCAAAACTGTCACTTGCTGAATAGAGTCCTTTTATATCCGTTGCGCTGGTCCAGTGGAGACACATGCAGGTTGTTCGGTGCTCGCCTGACTCTGACTTCTCATGGAGACATATCTCCTCCCCGTCCCCTTCAATGCGTTAGAATTCGGACCCAACCTTTATGCCCCAGCCCGATTTTGCCAGGAATCTGTCTTTGGTTTCCAGCAAAAGGGGTGTCCATTGACATGTGTCTCTTTCCTTGTGGCATTTTCACAATCTGCCTCCTGCTTTTTGGGGAGAAAGCTTAGCTCCTGTGCCTAAGGGTGAGTACTGTGTGTACTGGGCTCCCTCGCCTCCAGAACAGCTCCCTGAGCCCAGTACATCTCAAGAAAAAAAAATCAGTCAGGCTACAGAAGAATAACACAACACAATTGACAAATCTGTGCTAATTGGGAGTCTGGTGAACACTGCGCCCAACCACCTCAAAATGCGCACAGCATATTTACCAAAACTGACTGTACTCGGGACCTTAAAGTGCATCTTGACAGATTTAAAAGGACAGAATAATATAAAACATATTCTCTGACCACAATGCAATTAAGCTGGAAATCGGTAACAAAAAGGTAACCGTATAAGTGTTTGGAAGTTAAAAGACAGGCTTCTAATTTGTGGATGAAATGGCAGGATGTCTGAGATTTGCTTTAAAGATATTTTAGTGGCAAGGCAAATTATTTTAGTATGAAGAGGGGATATGGGTGAAACAAGATTAGCCCTGTGTTGATAAGGATTGAAATTGGTGATAGGTACATGGGAATTCATTATATTATTTTATTTTTGTATATATCTGACAAATTTTTAATGCTTCTTGGTTATCCATGAGTCAAAGAAGAAACAATAATGGAAATTGCTGAATAGGTTACTGAGTATTATCATGATAATAATGCATGGCAAAATTTGTGAGATGCAGTTAAAGCTGCACTTAAAGGGACATTTATGGCCTTAAGGAACATTAATCCATCTCAAAAATTTAGGAAAAGAACAAAAAAAGAGAAGAAGAAATTAATGAAATAGAAAACAAAGAGTAGATCAACAAAACCAACCATTGGACTTTTTGGGAAAAGACTGATAAATTCATTTTAATAGCCATTTTTTCCCCAACAGAGTTGAAACTTCACTGGCTCCTATTTCTCAGTGCTGGTTTTGCTGGCTCTTTCTCCTGACTTTTCTCTCCTTCCTTTTCATAGATGACATTCAGGGTGAGTCTCCAGCTCCATGTGGGACAGAGGAACCTGCCCGCATCTGCCCCAATGGGACCAAATGTCAGACCTACTGGGAAGGACCCAACAATGGGATCACTCAGTTCGACAACATCCTATTTGCAGTGCTGACTGTTTTCCAGTGCATCACCATGGAAGGGTGGACTGACCTCCTCTACAACGTAAGTGATGTGGGGTCGTGGAGAGCCAGCACCAGCCAACTCCTGAGGCTGCCATGAAGGGACCCTGAGCTAGGGAGGCAGCCAAAGGACAACTCAACATAGCCCCGGGAGAGCCGGCCTGAGGCTCAGTCCTTTGAAGATATGGGGGTCTTGTCCTCAGAATTCTAAGTAGGGAAGGGCCCTCGGGAGGTAGAAATCTAGAGGGCACACAGATGCTGAATAACTTATAATTGCATGAGGTTTTAAATATAATTTTAGATTTTTGAATATGTCAAGGTTGTGTGAGTCAAAAACCAACACAGATGAAACACAGAGAAATATCCTTGGACCTATGCAAAGGGGTTCTGCGCTGGAGCCCTCACCCGCTTCCTCCGGCCATGCCCCTCCCCGTGGGGTGAGGAGACCATTGGGCTGAGGGGAAATGTCTCCCAGGAGCTGGTACCACCAGCACCATGAGTGGGAAGAGAAGGTGGCAGACCATGGTCAAGGGGCAGTAACGGCTGTCCCTCCACCATAATGCAGTGCAGACATCCAGATTCTGAATCACAGACTGACCTTATGAAGGTATGTTTGTAAAGGAGAAGTGCACAGCATGTTTTATTTAGTAGCTTTTAAATATTTACACATATTATGAGGACCTCGGTTGGTACTCTTGTCGTAAGTTTTGAAAATGTTAGGGACAGGTCTGAAAGATGCCTCCCCTTCCACCCTGTTTCCTATGCCCCATCCTAAGGCTGCTCCACACACATGCTGAATTTCCAGTGAAGGTCCTGCCCATGAGCCACAGCTCAGCCTACCGGGGAAGCAATACTGGGCATCCTCCTGCACGCAGAGGAGTCATGGTGCATGTTCATAAAGGAATTACCCCCCTTGGGGGTGGAGGGAGATTTATAAGAATCCATCCTTTGGATCAGTAGCTTATTTTAGGGTGGAGTTGAGAATGCAGCTTGGAATGGGCAGCAAAAGGAGCTACCATGGACAGTTGTGCATGTCACACACTGCACAAGTCAACCACATCTCGGGAGTATTGTTCATATTGTAGACCATTAGATTTCTACCGTTATGATGATCACTGATTGACAAATACAGAGGATGGGGCAAAGGGACATGGTGTTCTAGTCTGCAAACAGATCTTGCCCAAGCATAGCATCTCTAGGAACAGACAACAGATTTGAGATGTTCAGGCTCTTTCTTGCATTTCTTGGGCCTCCCCTACAGACGCTTGGGCAAAAGGTTACACCCAATTGGCCAAAGCTTGCTTGGAGGTTTTATGGGTTCTGGGATTTTTTTTCTTTACAAAGCTGGTGCAAGAGGAGGCTTCAGAGGAAAAGAAACCTTCCTGGGAGGGAAGCAGAACTAGCAGACAGGAAGGGGAAGGTAAGGGAACTCAGGCAGAGAGTGGGGTGGAGAGCAGGAACTAAGAAAAGTGTGAACACAGAAACAGGCTGTGTCTCAGGGTTGGACATCCAGAGAAAGGGTCCAGAGGTTCAGAAGAGACACTGGGAATGTGCTCAGTGGTAGGTGAGGAAGTGTGAGCAGGACCATAGAATTTCCAGAGAGTTCTATAGTTGTAAGCACTGTTGTCTGAGGGAATGTTTGTCCTGGATACATTAGAGCTAAACCACCATGTGGAGAGCAAGCTTAGGGGAAACTGTTGAGAGAACAGAGTTAGGCATTAAGCTGCCTAGGTTCCCATCCTGAGTCAGCACTTCCTTGCTGTGCAACCTTAGACAAGTCGCTTGGGCTCTCTGGCCTCCATTTCTACGTGTGCAAAATGAGGAGAAGCACAGCCCTACCTCACAGGGCACGAGGAGCGAGTGAGGTGAATACATGTGAAGCATTTAGAGCAATGCGTGATGCTGGACAAGCTCTCTGTAGGCCAAATTTTCCACCCTGATGGGCACTCCTTTTAGAAATGTGTATGAATTTTTCATTGTGAAAACTCCAGCAGCGCCTGAAGAAGTGGAGCGAGCCATGGGGTCCTACTTTAGTCCCCATTCTCACCCCACTGGTAACTGCCACTAATTCGGAGCAGCCTTCTAAAACTTTCCATGCACTCACATCCCACTGTCATGCTTTGGGTAGAAGCCTGAGCAGTGGTTTGAGCCTGATGTGAGCCTAGAGCAGCAATAAAGTACCACAAACTGGGTGGCTTAAAACAACAGATACTTACCATCTCACAGTTTGGAGGCCAGAGGGTGTCAGCAGGGCCAGTCTCCCTCCAGAGGCTCTAAGGAACAATTCTCCCTCGTCTCTTCCAGCTTCCGGTAGCTTCCAGCAGTCCTTGGCATCCTTTAGCTTATAGATTCTCCATCATCCACTGAAATATCCCACCTTCATATGGCCATCTTGCTGTGAGGACACTGGTCATCCTGGATTAGGGCCCACACTGCTCCCGTGCAACCTCATCTTACTTAACTAATGGCATCCACACGACCCTGTTTCTAAATAAGGTCACTTTCTGAGGTCCTGGAGGCTAGGGCTTCCATTTATCTTTTTTGGAGGGTGGGAGTGGGGGCACGATTCAACTCATAACACCTCTCAAATAAAGTACTTGCTCCTGAACCCTTATCTGAGACTTCCTAAATTAAGACAACCCCGCCCCCACTCCACAGCACAACCACTAGGGTCACTCATGGCTAAGGGCAGGGGCTAAGGCGGCATCTTTGAGTTTCTACTGGTGAGGGCAGAGCTATTGCTTTTCCAGACTCATTTGGGCCCTGCCATCTGCCAGCCCTGCCCAGCCCTGCCCTAGGATGCCCCTCACTCCATGCAGCCACAGTCAGGCACAGTGTCTGGACTCTTTGTCCTTTATGCTGGTGTCAGAGCCAAGTCCGTAGGCATGGCCTTACTAGCCACTGGCAGGTGAGATCCACAGGAAGAGAGTCCAGAGGCACCTGCTCCAAGCATCTTAGAATCCACAGGCACTGATGCCAAATGTATGTTGCCCACCTGGATGAGCAGGGCTTTATGATCCCAACATCTCATTTCTTTTCTCAACATCATTGAAATCCACTTGTTTATTCCATAATTACTTACTAGTGCTGACTAGGTGCCTAATCAGGTGATCGGGGACAACACAATGAAGAAGACAGACAAAAATCCCCACCCTTGTAGGGGAGACAGAGGTGAACAATAAGCACAATAAATAATAAACTACTCAGAAAGTAGAATATAGACTTTAAGCAAATGCACGATATGGGATGTGATGGCATGCCCTATGTCATCCTATGAGGACGACAGCAGCATAAGAGGACAAGTTATGGGATATGGGGGCTAGATTAGGTCAGGCAATCAGGGAAGATTCCTCAGAGGAGGTGACATTTCCACAGAGGAGGGAGCCCAGCAGATGTTTAGGGAAGAGCATTCTTGGCAGAGGGAACAGTAGCTTGCCTACACGGTATGTTGGGACCTCTTCCAGGTTTTCCCCTTTTCAATTTGTCTCTTTTCTTTTTTCCTGGCTTCCTGCTTAAAGTGCCTTTTAGAAAAAGCCTCACCTCAACTAATCAGCAACTCTATCGAAGATTTATATAGGATGTGCACCCCAGTGTTATTTATAAAAATAGAACAAAACTGGAAGCAACTGGTTAAATACCGTATGGTCCCTCCATATGATGGAATATCATGTGTCATTAAAAATCGTCTGTTGGGAGAATATTTAAGGACGTGGGGAAATGCTCACCATATAATGACGAGGTAGGGAAACTGATTTTTAAAAAAGGATCAAGGTGAGATAAGCCTTATGTCACAGTCAGCTCAGGCTGACATCACAAAATACCAGACTGGGCAGCTTAGAAAATAGATATGTACTTACTCACAGTCCTGGAGGCCGGAAGTCTGAGATCCGGGTGCCAGCATGGTCCAGTTCTGCTGAGGACTGTCTTCCTGGCTTACAGGCAGCTACCTTCTTGCTGTGTCCTCACATGGCAAGGGGAGAGAGAGAGAGAGAACAAGCTCTCTGGTGTCTCTTCTCACAAGGACACTAACCCCAGCCTGGGGGCCCCACTCTCATTACCTCCTATAACTCTAATCACCTCCCAAATGCCCCATCTCCAAATGCCACTGCATCGGAGATTAAGCCTTCAACAGATGAATTGCGGGGAGAAGGGACACAATTCAGTCCGTAGCACCTTATAATCTCAAGGGTGTAATTTTGAAAATACGAAAAATGAAAAGAATAGAAGCCAAAGCCACTGTACCAAGATGATCTCTAGGTAGTGGGATGTGGTAATCTTTATTTTCTGTATATTTTTCTATGTGGCCAATTTTTCTACAATGAGCACAATTTACTTTTAGCCTCTTTTTTTAGAAGTTGATTTACAATATTGTATTAGTTTAAGGTGTACAGCATGGTGATTCAGTTATTTTTTGGCAGATTATATTCCACTGTAGGTTATTACAACATATTGAATAGAATTCCCTATGCTGTACAGTAAATCCTTGTTACCTGTCTATTTTCTATATAGTAGTTTGACGCTTTGCTTTTATAATCAGGGAATATATTTAAATTTGTCTTGCTAAGTGTTTAGGAGGAAAAAAGAGATTTGGGGTTACTTCTAGACCAGGAGACAGGGAGGAAATGCAGGAGAATGAGCATTTTCTGGGGGGCCCACTGTGTGCTGGCTGAGGTTTTGTCTTATATAACCTATCCAGACAGGGTCTAGGCCAAAATAAATAAATGGCTGATTGATTGACATAACAATGGTAAATCATCATTTTATTGCTTTATTATTAAATAAAGTAAGTGAAAAAGAGACAAGTCTTCCTTAGAGAATTCCATTTAATATATGTAGACACTCCCTCTCTAGGAGTGGAGTTTAATCTCCACCCTCCTTACTTTGCGGATGGGCTGGACTTAGCGACTCACTTTCAAAGAATAGAGTAGGGAAAGATGTATCATTTTGCAGTAGAGAAACCTACAAGACACCACCTTAACCAAGTGATGAAGGCTGACATCCCCAGTGGATGTGTCATCACAGTACCCTTGATTTGCTATGATG